TGCGTGGTGCTGAGCTGCTGGCTGGGGCTAAACCACGACAGGGACAAAACAGAAGTAACATTAAGCTACCCTGAGATTCTTGAACTTGAGCCTTTGGGGGGAGCAATCAGGGGCCTTAGGACAACCTTCCTCAAGACCTCCCATGGTTTCCCATGTGCAAAATCAAAGTGGTACCCCTGGGGTTTAGTGTCTAACCTGCTGGTCCTAGAAGGCCCTAGTGCCAGACACATAAAGGTCCAGATGTGGCACGTCTGACTTACTTAGAAAGTCCATTAGACTAAGTTACAGAAAGACGCCTGTCCTAGCTATTGAAATAAATTTTATTTATGCATTTGAATATAAATTCAGCCACATCATGCAATGCTTGGCAAAAGCAAAAAAAGATCCATAAAATCAGCTACTTCACTCTCCTCCCCTCTAAAGGTTTCCATCAAGGATGAGAAAAATGCCAAGTAAAAATGAAGTGGGTGGAGAGAAAAGAGCATAATAAATAATGAAAGATGCAATGAATCAGAGTGTTTAGGTAATCAAAATACTTACGCCATAAAGATATCAAAAATAAATAAGCTCTATCCATATCTCAGGACTACGTATCTCACAGTTATACTGCTGTCCAGACAGAGTGTTCTGCACAAGTATCTGTGCAGATTTGCTACACTCTCAGTGTATGCCATGGTCCAATATTGTCTCCCAGAGTCAAAAACTAATTATGTGTTAGTATTTTCAGACTGTTGTTGTGGGTTAGAAGGCTTAGTTAAATAATTGCTGGACTCCGGTGTATTTTCTTACATTGCTTTCATCTAGTCTTTCACCTCTCTTTGCTCCCTCAAGGCTAATGCATAGAATATTAAAAATACAAGTCTCAAATTCAGAGGAGTCTATCTTTGCTAATACTATAGCAGGCAAATGTATGGGGAAAATAAACTGCACCATCAGTTTAGTACCTAACTCAGAAAACCTACCTTCCTAGATATTAATTTTCATCCAAAAGCTTTGTGAGCCAGCAGCCATCCAAAAGCTTTGTGAGCCTCCAGCAGTATTAAAAATGTATTTTTTCCAATCTACTTGAAATGAAATCCTTTGCTTTTGCCATATAGCAGCAATTATAAAGTCCTTATCTCCTGAATTACATTCATTTTGCTTACAATAGAGTCACCTTCTTCTGCTCCGTTTTGGCAAGTGTTTACATCAGCCACAAATTCGAGTCAAATAAGCCTAGCAGCGAAGAGCCACATGCACTTTCCCTCCAAATTAGATGCTAGGCAAGTTCCATCCAGACAATTATTGTCTTCGTTTTGGTCAGTAAGTCCCATTGGTCCTGGGTTTTAGTTATACTGGGTACTTTAATCTTAGTGTGATACTGTATTATCTGTGATCAATGCTTCAAAGGTAGTGTTACAACTATCTAGTGAGTGCTGCAGAGCTCTTCCTTAAAGCACGAATGGCCTTTACCCAGCCTGCTGCAGACATACTCACTTCTCGACTGCTCCCAGCCCTTCTGAAAGCCTTTTGTGAATGTGACTCCATTTGGGAGAACTGGATGGTTGTCTGCAGTGAAGGTTTCTGGGAGGACCCTTCTCTAAACAGGTCACAGACAATTCTGCAAGGGGCTCAGAGGTTCAAGGAGCTGACGGCTGGCATTGGAGGAAAGGTGAATTCAGTACCTCATCCTCCCTGGGGAAAGAAAATACCATCGTGGCTTCTCCAAGACTGTCAGAAATGGTGTTAAAAAAATGAGAATTGCTTACAGGCAAGGGGGTACCATATATCCAGAAACGTGGTGGTGAGGGGAGCTGCCTGGGAGCGCAGGAGTTGCTCAGCACCCTGCTGCCAGTTGCCCTTTCCCTCTGCAGGTGAGGGGGAGAGCAGTGCTCCAGTTCTCCCACGGCAGCCTATGGCTGGAGGCACGGGAATACATGTTTGTAACACGGGTTTTGCGGAGGAAATGCTAAACTGGTATTTCAGAAGGGGCTACAGAGGTGCTGACGTTTCCTAAGCGTAGTCAATGTAGTATGTGCTGTGAGATGGCGGGGAGGGAGTGACTTAAAACACCATGCTTGAGTAACTCTCGCTCTCTGTAGTGATTTGCAGCAGTGCAGTTAACGCACTGTCTGCAACAGCGGCACTGAACTGCATTGGCTGGTCATGGCTCCTTCACCTTGGGTAAAAGCAGTAACTACCTGGCAGCCAGAGAGAAGCCCAGGTAATAAAAGTGCTGAAGGACAACATCATTTCTTTTGCCTCACTTGAGTGGTTGAGAGCAGCTGTCCTTCGGGTCTCACTGGCTTCGAGCAGTAGGGAATATTTGCAAAGTCACCTTGAGCTACTGCTGAGCTCCCAAAATTTGGCCGCATACTTTCCGTTATGCTGACAATTGATGTCTGCAGCACAGCAAGGGCTGCGGATTCATTACAGCTTGGCGAATCTGTTTAAACCACGAAGGGAGATGTTACTCTAAAGCTGAGATGGATTTTGCTGAGTTTATTGGTTTTAATCCCTGCAGTTAGGTATAAGTTGATTATCAGAAGTGACAGAATAGAGTTGTAACCATGAATCCTAATTTATATAGAAGCACCTGGAACTTTAGCATTTATTTCTTAAAGATGTTTGTGTTGGCAACCCTGGTTTGCAGTAGAATATTTTTATCATTTGGAGAAGAAGAAACACCCAGGTTGTGAACCTACATGTTGGATCTGAACCACAGCTAGGCACAGAGAAGCCTACAGAACAAAGAGTGAGCCTGTCTGCCTGGCAGTGTCCATGAAATCCCTTTGTGGAGTTGACATGCAATAACGGCTACATCTGGAAAGCACAGCATGTGCTTGATCAGAAAAGAACATCTGTACACATGGAGATGTGGCCGGTAAAGCATCTTCGTACACAGCTGATCGTGGTATTTTGCATGGCTCTTTGAGCGTTCTGTAGAAGTGTTAAAATGTGGCTTAGAGGCTGACTAAGCTGGCTTTGTACAAAGATAATTAATTCTTTGCTACAAAGATCACTTGTGTTAAATGTGATAATCCAAATCTGTGGCGTGGTCCCGAACAGCTTTCTACTGCAGCCATCCACAAACAACACTCTCAACAATTAATTTCTGGTGATGGTATGAAATCAGACAGCCTTGCTTATCTGTATCTATAGCCACTTATTTCATTAGCCAACCACATAATGACAACACCATCACCACAATTAATAGACAATAAATTAATACACAAATAGCATTAGTACCAGGAGATGATATAGTTCACAGTTCAGAAGCCAGCAGCAGTTGCAGATTTTCTTATGTTCGTCTTAATTCTTAGTACTTCTTTTCTAAACTTGCATATGCTACAGAATTGTTTTTAATAGCAGGTATGCAGGGAAGGTCAAGGCACTTGGCAGGTCCCCATTATTAGAGGACGTTTTTGACAATATTTAACTTTTTCTTTCTATCTCAGTTCTGACTTCTTTTTTCATCTCTCCCTTACTTCTGGGCATATGCGGACCATATATTTTGTTTACTCTTGAAGCGCTCTGGTCCTCTCCGTTGGTTTTGTGCTGTAGGAATACACAAGATGGAAAAGCTTCACTTACTGTAATAATAAAGTAATATTTTATTGCTCTGCTAATAACATATTTGACAAGTTGCTTCTAAGTACAGCTTTGCATTGCCCCTGTTTCAAGTAACTGTCTGGTTCTTTGTAGAACGCAGACATTAATATGTCTGTAGAAGACTGAGCTCACAAGACAAATAAATGGCCATGTGCACTGATATAAAAATATACCTCTAGATTTGAGGCTGGCATTATGTTAAGTTATATATATAGTTATAGTTAAGCCATGCTGTGTCATTAAAACTCCATTTAATCGCTTACCTGCACCATATGCACCTTGTGCTCTCCATGCATTATCAGCTGCATGAATTAGTGAAAAAAGAAAACAAGATTTTTTTCTGTTTTTTCAAATGTGTCTGGTAAAACAAACATGTTTGCACTTAGGGCAAGACTACATTGTCCTCAACCCCCCGTTTGAACAACTGTTCTCAAACACATCCCTCCCAAAGTAAAATTTTACCATTAACCTGTCCCTAAGAAACGCTTGTCAGAAGATAATATTTTTCCCCTCCAAAAATTAAAAAGTGGTGAAGAAAGTAGGATTTTATTTTGAATTTATGCATTAAGAAAAACTTGTTTGCAAACTGAACTTTAGTTGCAGCAATTAAAAAATATTAAAAAAAAAATCTTTCAAATAACTTCTAAGTAAGTTTTTTTCAAAAAAGCTTGTAGAAAAGATGCACCACTGTACCCAGCAGAAATCTATTTGAGTATTGGATTAGTGCTATCTGAAGAGAAATACTGTTTACAGATTTAATATCCCCTGCAGCATTTAGATTTGTCTGGCAATCCTTTCAGGCACTGGGTTTGCTCCAGCTCCTGCTCAGTTGGTGGGAACCCCTCCACGGTCTTTCCTCAGAGCAGGCTGAGACTTTGCTGAGTACTGAAGCAAACCCAGTCTCTCCTTCAGGCTGAAGATAAAATGATTTCTCTGGTGAGTTCCCAGAGATTTCTGCCCACTGTAGATTTTGAGAACTGTGCCCTGAGGCTGCACTCTTACTCGTCTCACCTCTGGCAAGGAGAGCAGATGCATGCAACAAAATGCTGTTCACATTTTTAGGTGAGATATTTTCTCTGCAAGACTCATAGCCCCAGGCCACAGTCCTGAGGAATAACTAGTTTTTTCTGAATACTTACAGCTTGCATAGGTACCAGCATTGGAAGCCTCACTGTAAATAAAGAGTGTTGAATATTAGTGCCTTGTAAAACATGAATCACATCTTGTTAATAACGAAATAAGGGATGTGAATAGATCTGACCGCCTCTTTTGAGACGATGGACAGCCTTCTAGAGTCTGCTTGGCTCTCCTTGAGACTGAAGCAGAGGAGCACAGGACACACGGTCCTTAAATGAACAACTGTTAGAGAAATTTGCAGGGAACATTTGTAAGTAAAGAAAAGGATTTACCTGTTCCACGTAATCTGGTTGGCGAGTTCACCTGAGAAAGATGGAGAAGAATGTTTTACAAAGCTGGCAGTGCATTCAAGTTCGGGACTTGGTACTGTGCCCCTGGATCTCATGGTCGGGGATAAACTAGGTGGGAATGGGGGTGGGCAAATGAAAAGGACGTTTCTCAAAAGCATGATTGAGCACCCAAAGACTCGGGAGGTAGGTGGGAGCAGGAAACCACATCAGACAGAAGAGAATCTGCCTTATGCTGATTAGGAGCAGACCTCTTCCTTGTTATCCCCAGAAACAGTCTTTCTGCCCCCTTCACCTTCCCCTCTCCAACACCCCAAGATAGCATCTGAATCCTCACTGGCCCCTCAAGGCCATGCACATGCCCCATATAAAGGAGCCAGTGTTCAGCAGCCATCTGCCTGGCTCACCAAACCCCATGGCTTTCTGTTTTCCACTCGGGGCCAGCGGTGCGGGGCCAGTGGGTCGGGGCAGATCACTCACTCTGCACACCTTCCAGCAGTGTGCCCAGGCGACTCATGAAGTCCCACGTCAGACGTCGGTAGTGGTCAACACTGGCCTGATTCAGCTGCACCACCACCGCATCCATCTCGCTGACACCAAAATTCTGATGTGCAATCCTAGGGCACAGGCAGGCATTTCACCAAGGAAAACCATTTAGCATTAGAAAATTAACAAACTTCTTTGTTAGGAAGGACTCTACAAAGAGGAGGGTGCTTTGGCAACATGAAGTATCAGGTAAACAGCTCTCTGATAAGGTTAAGTGAGTTGCAATTGTTATATATTGTTATTTATTTGGTAATGCCTTTTGCTTACCAAACCTGGATGGGAACTTTCGAATGCTGAAAATGAGAAAAGGGGAGGCATTTTGTTAAAACCCTTGTGCGAACAGTGCTTCGACCTGCCACAGGCAGGCTCTCACTGCTCTAGCACAACTGCTGCCATGATAGAAAGAAAATGCCAAACATATTAAATGGTGTCCAGGCTTCTGGAAAATGACTTTGATCCCACAGGCTAGATTTTGACTTGTGGCACAGTTGTGAGTAATGGACTGTGCTGCTGCCAGCACAGCCCCTAGGTACACGGTGATTCAAAGTTATCCTTAACAATCCCAAGTTCAAACTCAGCTTTAATTTGTACAAGTTACAGAGATGACATCTTAAAATCCAGCTAGATGTTTGAGCTAGCCCTTCACATGGCTGGGGAATTTAGTGCTGCAGCAAAATCTCTTCTGGATCTGTAACTTACTGTTGGTGTGGTTTTGCACCATTGAATTACAGCTGATACCCAGATGTCGATTAGGAAGTGATAAGTTATAAATTAAATGTATCACTTGCAAGAGAAGGGATAATAAATCTGTCTAGCTATTAAGCTTGTCCACAAGCAGAAGCAAGAATCGGTGGGAAATGAGCCAGTTACCTCTGCAGCCAAAGGCTGTTCACTGGGACTTACGTGCAGGAGTGTCACCAATATGCATCCAAGAGTGTTGCTGTAAACTGAACCCTATGGGCTTAATCTCTGATAAAAATGTTTTTCTCGTAATAAAAGCCAGTGGCTTTCATCAGAATCCAGCACTCGTGTAGCTGCCAAGGAAACTGAAACTTAAAGGGACCACTGGAACGGCAGGCGGGTATCTCTCTGTCCTTGTTAATTGTGTGGATGTGGTGCTCTCTGGCTCAGCTGGAATACGGAGCAGCTTTGCAGCATAGGGTGCCAGGACAGAGGGGCACAGGCAGTGGGTGTCAACACCATATTTTTTCAAAGAAGAAAACAAGTGTTTTCAGGTGGAACATACCTGTCCATGGCCAGTTTAAATTCCTACAAATAGGATTGCCAAAAAAAAAAAGAAAAAAATTGTTTAGCGTGATTTCCAGAAAGAGCAGCTGGCTGAGAAATAGGCATATTCATGAAGAAAAGCAGAATACCAGCTGCTTACTTTGAAGAAGATGAAAATATCTGGTTGCACTCTCATCTTCTGCAAAGACTGAAGATACTGTGCAACCTCATCTCTCTTCTCTTCCATTTCTTTCCTCACTTTGGCAATGTCTGCCAGTTGTTTTTTCTCATTGGATTGAATGCCACCCAGGACCATCTTCTGTTTCTGAATCATCTCTGTCTTCAGCTCTTCAAACAGCTTTTGCAGCTGAGAAGTCACTGTTTTCGTATTGGTCTAAATGAACAGATAAGAAAATGGTGCACTGTCTCAGGAACCCAACACTTCAACTTAGTGTATGGGTAGACATGGCACTTTGGGACATAGAATCATAGAATCGTTTAGGTTGGAAAAGACCTTTAAGATCATCCAGTCCAACCATTAACCTACACTACCAAGTCCACACTAAACCAACCAAGGGTAGACTAGACTAAACCATGTCCCAAAGTGCCACATCTACACATTTTTTGAACACTTCCAGGGATGGTGACTCCACCACCTCTCTGGGCAGCCTGTTCCAATGCTTGACCACCCTTTCCGTAAAGAAATTTTTCCTAATTTCCAACCTAAACCTCCCCTGGCGCAGCTTGAGCCCATTTCCTCTCGTCCTATCGCTAACTACATGGTTTAGTAGGCATGGTGGTGGTGTTGGGTTGATGGTTGGACTGATGATCTTAGAGGTCCTTTCCAACCTTAATGATTCCTAGTTTTTACTTTCATTAAAAAATAATCCAGCCACCAAGCCAGGAAACATGAAATTAATTATTACTCTACCCTTAATTGGTTTAGTGGTGGACTTAGTAGTGTTAAGTTAATGGTTGGACTGGATGATCTTAAAGGTCTTTTCCAACCTAAACGATTCTGTGATTCTATGTCCATTAATTAGGATTGCATCTATCCTTTGCACTGGCTTTAGAAGGAAGCAGACAATAAGCATTCACTTACAGTATCTGATTAAACAGTGGGTTATGAAAATTATCGTGCTATAGTAACAAAATCAGATAAAATTCAGCTAGCAATGCAAGAACTGTATCGGTACACACTGAAAATCCCACTTGTAGACTCAAATTGTTCTTCTTTTATTTAACAGATAGAAAACTTTAAAAATACATAATGATACATGCAATCTGTGATTTGCCAGTCCTGCAACCTGCTCGGTGCAACCACAATAAATGGTGGAGCCTCCCAGCTGGTTCCTCTTGTGGAGCTACGCTGGGAGGCCGTGAGACAGCTTGGCTTCTGGCAGTTTCTTACACCAGTGTTTTCCCTGCTTTGGACTGTATCTCTTTGTAGTCATCTGCTTCTAACAGTATAGTTGCCATCGCTTATTTCTTAGAAATTGTGGAGGAAAGATGCTCTGAATTAGCAACGACCCGGCTACCAACCTTGATCTGATTCTCACTTTTCTGGAGCTTTTCTAGGGCAGTAGCTAAAGCGCTTTTACGTTCCTGCAGCCATGTCACGGTGTCTGAGAGTTCACCCTAGCAGAAGGAAAGACAGCATTGAACTTCACAGCAGGGAAGCAGCACGGGTAGCTTTAAACCAGACTGGCAGTTTGTGGAGCTGGTGAAATGGCACAGGCACATTCTACCTGCCCGCTTTCACCAGTGAGTCCTATAATAAACTGTGTTCGCTTGCCTCCTCATAAAGATAGGGCACAACAGAAAACTGATAAGATCTTGAAATCTTTTGGGTCAATGTTTAATTTTTATATATGTGTAACTTTGTATGTGGTAGGTTAATAAACAACTTCCCCTTTGAATAAGTAAATTTCACTTTAAATAAATCTCACTTTATCCGTTAAAGCTCTGTTCTTGCCAGAATCTTCACATGTGCCTAATGTGATCCAAATCCTTAGTTTTCACATCTGTCAGCAGCTGTGGGATCTGAGGATAAGGTAATAAGCAACTATCTTTTCTGAAGATCAGGGAAACAGTGGTACACACTCACCCAAGCTGTTTATTTTAACGGATACCACAATCATTGAGTGCTGCTATACTGTATGATAACACATTTCAGAGGCGACATTAAACCTCATTCTTCAGGGATTAGACAGTGTCTGAATGGTTCTGGTTGCTCCTGGCTGCCTCCAGCAGCATTTTCACACCTCGAGCACCCATGAATGGCCACACCAGACACAGCTGCGAGATTCCCGTTTCTTTAATACAAATGATGCCAAAAAGCTTAGGTTTTCCATGAGATAGTTGTCACAGCTGAGAAGTTTTAATTTTTGAAAAATTAGAAGACAAATAACCAAATGTGACTGAGGTTCCTTGCACCAAAACCCTTTTATAATTCCTCCTGAAGAGCTGCATTCCTGATTTCCCTGGTTATCCTGGGGAGTTTAACAAAACAATCCAAGAGGAATATGCAGCTGAGATCTCAGCTTACCCATGGAGATGGCTTCCCCATAGACAGGGCAGTGTTTACCAGCTCCAGGGATGAAGGAAATGGCTACTTTCCTGCACAGCTCACTTCTGTTTGGCAGCCCTGAATTTTTTGTATGTAACGCAGGGGAGAAAATTAGTTTGCAGTATGTATAACTGCAAAGGATGCTTCATGCTAATTCCTGAGGAGGCTATGACCTGTCCTGAGGTGCAGAGCAAGCCAGACGTTTCCTGCCCACGCACCAGGTTGCTGCAGGGTGTTTTGCTTGGGCTCTAAGCTGAGCCCAGAAATTTCAAATGCAAGCCAGTGAGCGAGCGTAGCAAATACATTTTATCCTCTCAGTCTCAGCTGATTCTGGAGCATTTCAAGGACAGCAGCTGGACTCAAAGGCAGGGACATCGAGGCCCTACGTCTCTGTGCCCGCTGGGACGGCTGGGACGTTGGCTCAGCAAAACTTAGGGCAAAGGGAGGAAAGGAGCCAGAGGGAAGGGCCTCGAGTGGGAAAACCTGTTTCCCAACCCAAAGTTCAGCAGTGGTGGGGTCCCAGAGCCTCTGTGGAGGAAGAGACTTCTTAATCCCAGCCCAGAATACGCTTGTCAGTGGCAGTTTGCAGTTGCCTGGGGCTGTGCAGGACGGGCATGCACCTCAGTGGCACGGGACAGCAGAGCCCTGCACCCACCTCTCACCTGCTCTCCCACACGCACGTCCACGTCAACACGCACTACAGGATTTACCCACCCTTGTCCCGGTCAGCCCCAAACACCTTCCTCTGCTCTTCTCCCTCTGCTTAGCCTGCCAGGCTGCTTTGGCAACACAAAGGAGGAAATGAAAAGCAAATTAGAGCACAGCGCACCAGTCCCTGCTGGGGCGGACATGAAATCCCCGGCGCTGCTGCCTGCCCCTCCACCCTTGCCCCCTGTCCCCATTCCCTGGTGAAAGCCTTACCACCCCTCCTGCAGCTTCCCCCCCTTCCTCCAGGTCAGGGGTTTGCAGCAAACACTGCAGGGGCCGTGGGGAGAGGAGAGGGGAGAGGAGAGCCCCTTACCAGCTGTTTGTCATGTGCCTCCTTCAGGGTGATGATGCTGTGGCCCTTGTGGCATCCCGCAATAGAGCAGAGCATGCAGATGTACTGCCCCTCATCCTGGCAGTAGCACTCCAGCAGCCTGCCGTGCTCCAGGCACCTCCTCTCCTCCACCGCAGGGCCTGCGCCCACCTCCACCACATGGTGCTCCTCCTGGGAAACCTTGGCGTTGTGTTTGTTCAGATGGGCCTGGCACAAAGACGCATTGCAGACCAGGCAGGTTTTCACGGCTGGCTGGGGCTGATCCAGGCAGAAGTCACATGCAATCACCTCTTTCTTCCCCTCTGCAGAGCCCTTGCCCTGTTCTTTGGAAGCGGTGGCTATAAATGCCTCCACAATGTTGCATAGTTGGAAATTCTTCTGCAGCTCCAGGATGGGCCCCAGCTGGAGCTTGCACATGGGACAGGAGTAAGGGGCTTTGGATTGCTGCTGGGCACCGAGTGCCTTCTGGATGCACTGCTTGCAGAAGCTGTGACCGCAGCTCAGTGACACTGGGTTCTTGTACAGGCACAGGCAGATGGGACAGCTGAGTTCATCTTCCAGGCTGGCACCCTCTCCAAATTCTTCCTTAGCTTTTGCCATGGATGCAGAAATGACGGCGTTAGCCAGTCTGCAAGAAACGAAACTAAAAGCCCTTCGTTTCCGCCCTGCAACAGGCCAGCAGTGATACGCTCTCCCTCTCGGACTCCACCCGCAAACAGCTCTTGTAGCCGCTTTGAGATGTTTGCCCTCAGCTGCTGTGTGGACTCAGGCAGCGTCGCCCAGTGTGTGAGCTCCCAGCAGGCTGGTGGGAGCAGGGGTGCTGGGGAGGCACTCACACGCAGGGCACGAGATGGGCAATTCTCCTACAGCCCCCTGCTCGCCCAGAAAAATCCTCCATCCCACGCCAGAGGCACCGAATTAAGAGATAAACCATGGATGAGAAGAGTATGAGCCTGGCTGGGGTAAGCCAGGAATTCCCTCTGCTTTGGTTCTTCTCCACAACAGTTACAGATGCTCCCCTAAAGGTAAAATAGGGAGAACCCAGGGGAAAGTTTTACTGGCACTTGTTGAGGCTGGTCTCCTACCTGCAGCCAGCTACAGGGAAATGGGGGCTGATAAAGGCTCCTGGAAAGGCTCTCTAGGATAGGAATATCCCTGTACCGTGTCAGGAGCCTTGCTTACCTTGCTTTGCACCTGTACCACCTGAGACCGGGCAGAGCAGCAGCCACTGCAGGTGCATTTGGGAAAGCCAACTCTACCCGCATGGTTTTCCATATCGTTTTGGTGTATAAAATGCAAAAGAGAAAACACAGCCACTTTCTTCTAAGACTGAACAAGGATTTCTTTTTGCATATGCAAAACTGTAGTGTCCCTCAAGGTCCTTAACTGTCCCTGCTGAGGTGGACAGCTCCTGCCTGGACCTCTTCATGAAAATACCATGGCTCTGTCTGAAAGCAGGAGAACCACAGGCAGCAGGCAGGAATGTCATCTCTTCCTCTCCAAGGTGCTTGGACAATGATAAGAACAAACTAATCCTGGCCCCATATGGCACAGACTAAAGGCACAGGAGTTTTCCTTTTTATTACTCCCTTTGCTGCAAGATTATTGCATAGGTGAGGAGAAAATTAAAATTGAGGCAAGAAGTAGGTAAGTGATCCATCAGAGAGCTCACAGCAGCAGAAAGCAAGGGAAACCAGGTGTCTTACCACCTAGTCTCTACTCACTTCACACAGGCCAGCTTTGCTTCTGCAACGGATGGCTTAGGTTGTGCAGGATGGGCAGAGGTAAAAGCTGATACATTAGAGCAAAGATCAGCATTGCTGCTGCTTAGTTCTATAGCAGTCAATGTTGTGCCATCACCTTATAAACTAAATTACCATTGAGTTTTGCAAACTAAATTACTTTAATAACCTGCAGCCGGCACAGCATTTGATACAGCCGAGCAAAAAAGCACAAGTTAATGGAATTTCCATCGTGATTAACAGAATAAGGTAGGAGCTCTTGCAGTAAGCAGCAGTGTGCTGTGATATACCCCACAGAAGCCTTGCCCTCACACAGATGAGTCGTCACAGCAGCCCAAAATCCAATTTCTAATATGCCAGCTTAGCACAGCCTCCACACAGCAGCAGTCCTGATACGTAGGCCTGGAAATACAAAACAGCCCCTTGTCCCCACATTGCTACTGGAGCTTCAAAGAGCCGTCAGACATGCCGAAGGTGGCATGGGTGGGATAATTCAAAGGGATGCTTGCTGTCTCTATAAACCTGAGGCTCTCAGCAGGATCTCCATCCTTGACAGACACATTATAAAATGACAGTCTGTTTCTTCCACAGCAGGTAGCACTCAAAGTTGGGATGAACGATTCCAAGCTTCCAGCACCTCGCCATTGCTGGTGTCCACCTACCAGAAATGACAGCCCTCCAAGAAGCTCTGCTCACTCTGCACATGTGGAATGGCTCTGCGTGTATTTGATACCCCAAGTCGTAAAGAACCGAGTGAGAATGCAAAGCCTGCGTTGCCACTGTAAGGAACTTAGAGAACATTACAAAAGAGTAGAATTATTTACATAGAAAGAGTAGATTGTTTACTTTGTAAGACAAACTCCACCTGCCACTGCTGTGATGAGTTCTCAGCTTTCCCCATGCTTTAAATCAAAGTAATGCTACAGGCAGAAGAGGTCTTGCTATTCTCTTCTCTTAATCCTCCCAGAAAACTCCTAGGATATCCACACCTCTTTACCCAGAGCCCATTTTAACAGGGTGTATTCAAGGCATGTCCCAAAGTGCTGAAGCCTAGGACAAGCACCCTTTTATGTACACGTATGTGAAAATAATCAAATACAATGTTAATAATCAGTTCTTCTAGAGGTACTTGGTGTACTTGGTGTCTTATTACAGTCCTTTCTTAAACATGTTTTGTTAGCTTCTCCATCTTGCTTGTCATGTAACGAAATGGTGGTCACTTAGCAGGTGGTGCTTTAAGTAAGGACTGCATGTCTGAGAGGAATTGCTGGAAAAGCCTTAGAGTACTGTCTGTTGTTAATTCATCCAAAATAAAGGGCGGCGTTGGCAGTTTTATACCACCTTTGTTAGGAACTGGCTTGTGTTCCCTAAAACAGGCAGAAGGACATCAGAAGAGCAGCAAGTCATCAGAAAACCATCACCGACCCCATCCCTGAGCCAACAGCTGCATCCCCCACTCCACACGCAGCCTCGATGGGAGATACAGAAAGCTGCTTCTGCCCTCCCCTCCCTCTGCAGCTTTACCAGGGACTCCCCTCTGACCAGTCTCTTCCCAGAACCCCAAATCCCTTCAACATCATTAGGATGAAGTTCACTCCATGGACAGTATCTGTCCCCAGAGGACCTTGTCTCAGCCACCTCAGCCCCAGCTTTTTGCCAGGACAGACCCTAGCATCATGTTTGCGGTTACAGCCCTCAAGTTCCCGCAGCAGGAGCTAACGAGGTGCTGAGGCAGCGGCTGGGATGCTGGGACAGCAAACGAGAGGTGCTACATTATCACAGCCAAGGGGCAACTGCTTCACCCGAAATGCAGGGCTGGGGAAAGGCTGGGCTGGGGGAGCCTGTGTGCAGCGGTGGGCTGTGGTGGAGGAACAGCACTGGGCAGGCACTGGCAGAATGACTCGGGAGAAAAGCCGTGAACTTTGTAGACTCATGACTTCACTGCATGTTTCGGCTTCTTACAAGCAGAAGGCAATGCAAACTGGAGGACGACTCAGGGTATCTGAGCTCATCAGTCCTTTGCATATCCACCCAGGGACCTAAATATTCAGGAATTGCCCGCAGAATGCGTCTCCAGAACAGGTGCAGAGGGTACAGAAAAATAAGCCATGTTGTGTATGAAGAGTCACACATGACCTCTGTTAATATTTTGCGGCTTCTCCAGGTCTCTGACAAAGCCAGGCTCAGTGTGCCCAAGGGGCAGCCAGGGTGAGCCCAGGGAGCTGCGGGCCTGCAGTGCACACGGGCTGGGCTAGCAGACCCGCACCGCTGAACTATCAGTCACCTGAAACAACATGTAATGCAATAGTAGACTAAGAGCTTACCTGGCTCAAATTGCTGCAAAAGCCTGTAAAATACATTTTGAAAGTAGAATTAGCATAGCGCAGGCAAAGGCCAGCCCAAGAGCTGAGTATCTCTGGGAAGGGAGATGCTGTTAGGTACCTTGGTGAAAAGAAGTGGGTCCTTCTGATCTCTCAGAGCCTCCAGCTCCTGTACATCACGGCTGGCTGCATCCTTCTGATCTTTGTGGTTTTGTATCTGCACCTGAATCCGAGAAAGCTGTTGTTCCTTGTATTGACTGAGAGCTTTCAGGACCTCTCCTTTTTTGTCATCTAGCCGCAGATACATCTCTTCGAAGAGGCTCTCCAGCCGATTCCTCTACGTGCTCTCCTTAGTCTATTACGAAAACACTTTCAAAGCTGTTAGGGACTGAATCTTGCATTTTCCACACTAACTCTCACTCAGAAAAGAACCTGGTCTTTTCTGGGCTGAGAGAAGTAACTACTAACTTACTTAGTGCCTCTCCATATGACAGCAAACCAGAATGTCCCACTGACAGCAGAAAGGCCAAGTGACGTAAGTGGCCTTCCCCAGCGTCTGGCACCTGACCAGGAAAATAGTGCTTCTTGCACAATGCTTGCTGAAGATTTTCCACTATGCATGTATTTCCGTACTCTGCACTGGTGTTTTTCTACAGCTACATTGCTTTTGGTCCTTTTAAGGATGGGTGAGGGAAAACAGTTTCTCTACTTCCTGCCTCCACCAAGCTTCTCTCACTGTTTGAAAGCAGCTATGCTGTCAGACAGGACACTGCCAACAGGTACAGTTGTGTCTTCAGACTAGAAGGGCACATTTCCTTTGCCCAGTGCCAGGATTTCTAGTCCCATCACTTTTACTGGTGGAGGAAGGCAAGTGCCAGTTCTGCCTAACCGGAATGAACTAGGATTTGGAGACCTGTGTTAAATTCCCTGCTCTTTCAGAGCTTTTAGATAGGTATTTGCATGCTGGGAGCAAACACCAGACACTTTGGGGCAATCTTTTAACCTCATTCCTACCAACTTCTTAGAACCACAGGCTAACCTAAAGGGATTTCTTCTTGTAAAGAGGAATAAAATCACTATAATATGGTCTGTATCTTTTTGATAAATATTTTAGAGTCTGCAAATTGAATAAGGCTGGGGGGGAAAAAAAGCCAGCCACCACCCACCAATCAGGAGGCATGGACTTAGAAAATTTCAAGCTCAGAGGTCCTTTGGAAACGAAGAACGTACTTCCCAGAGTGGTAAGAAAGTTGTTCAGCATCCTCCCTCAAAGAAGAAACCTAGAAAATATCTGAGAAACCACTCAGGAACTAAAAAAGCTTTGGAATCCATGATCTGGGGAAGGGCAAAAGAAAACCTTATCTCATCAGGTACCAGCATGCAACCATCCCCGGAGTGATGCAGGACCTTGGAACAAACCTTTACTTCCTTCTCATTTCAGCAGGTTTGCTATGCTTTGATTCAGCGCATCTTCGTGTTTTTTCATTGTTTTCAGAGTTTCAGGAAAAACACTCTATAAAAATAACCAAAGGGAGATATCAGGATAGGACTGACATATGTGCATAAGATCAGCAATTTTATGGAAATGGGTTAAGCTAGACCTGCAAAAAGTTTGTTCACTGCATGCTCTCAGGACAAATCAATACATTAAGGTTTACTGGAAGACTTTATCCTTGAACAAATACCACAATTATGAGCACAGGAAAGACATTTTGAAACGGAAAACTCTTCATGTGCAATAGCCACACCTAAAGCTACTTTCAGGGCTGACAGCTTCTTTTCTGTTACTCTGTCATTAATTTTCTTTGCATAATGCAGCCCAGGCTGATCTTCCGGCTTGAAAGTGCACTGGCTTGAAAGTGCACTGAGGACTAAAAGCATAGCTACAAGCATGTGGTCCCACCAGTTTGGCTCTTCAGGATGGGAAGAAAGTGTTTATAACATCTTTTTTTATATCCCGAGGGGCCAGCCCAGAGGGATTCTGGGGCAAAACTAGGAATAAAAGCCCAGTATCCCAAGACGGAGATGTAGCCTCATCCCGAGTCTGCAGATCTGAAACTTGGGAGTTTCCCTGGGCTGCAGGGAGTTTCCCTTGGGAGTTTCCCTGTGCTGCAGGCAGCTCTCGGTGGCGCAGACCCCCATGGTTTCCCCAGTGCAGTCCGTGCCCACGCCACTGTCCTGCGCTTGGCCAACAGCCACCTCCAAAGTGGTAATATGGTGGTTCTTGTGGGAGCTGGCGCAACAGCACAGCACACAGACGCAGACCGAGTCCGTCTTGCAGCAGAACTCCAGCAGTTTGCCATGCTGGGAGCATCTTCTCTCAGCCAAAAACCGAGCATCACAGGGCTCCACCAGGACATGGTCTTTCAGGGGGCTCTTTGTGCTGTGCTTGCTCAGGTGGGCTTGGCACAGGGAGGCTTTGCAGCTCAGGCAGGTCTTGACGGCTGGCTGGGGCTCCTGAAGGCAGAAATCACACAGCATCACCTTGTCTTGCTGGCCCAAACCTTCCCCCTTCTCTTCGCATTGCACTTCATGCTTTTCCTCCTCTTGATGAGTGGGAGCATCCAAAAACTTTTGTACAGTGCTGCGGAGCTGGACATGGGGCTGCAGCTCCATAGCGGGGTCTGCCTGGGCATGGCACAGCAGGCAGCTGAAAGGGCCCTGCCCGCAATGCCGGTGGCTATGCGCTTCCCGGACGCACTCCTTGCGGAAGCTGCGCCCACAGCTGAGGAACACAGGGTTGCTGTAAATGCCCAGGCAGATGGAACAGGTCAGGCCCTCCTCCAACTTGGCCACGGCACCTGAGCTGCCGCACAGGCCCGAGTGCCAGAGGGACAGCGCTGGCAGGGAAGAGAAAACATTGGCGAGGTGCCTCTCGCTCGCTCTGCAGACAGGGAGCTGCTGCTTCCTCCGCCTTGCAAGAGAAGGTCATCCCTCTCCTCCGCCCAGCCGCCTGCACCTCATCCGCCACGCTGGCAGAAGCCACGGCCATCACAGGACAAAGCCCACACAGGCAGCTCCAGTGCTGGCAGCTTGGCGGCTGCAAGGGGAGCAGGGCAAAGAGTCCGCCCCTGCTTAAACGGGGAGGGCAACAGCCAGGACATGGAGCCGTGGGCTTCTGGCTGCACCCTATATAACTTTTCTTTATCCCAGTCCTCTTTTAGATGTTTCTTCAGATAACATCTAGCGATGGTCCATCTTTAAAACCTGTCCCCGTGTCCACTGGTCCGTTTCCCTGCTCTAGCACTGCCCAGGTTCTTACCTGCCCTCAATATTTGAGTGCAGAGAAGAAAGCAGGAAGGAAAAAAACCAGTTTCCCTTGCTGCCCTTCAGCCAGGTGGGTGTACCACAGCCCAGCCCTCCTCCGGGAGCTGTAAGAGGGCTCTGCTCAGGGCTGCTCCCTCCTTTCCTCCCTAGAGTTGTTAAGTCTTAGAGTTTAGTTTCTCCTAGAAACAGGAGGGAATAAAAGGCTCCTTCTTTCAGGAGCAGGGGATGGAGGAAGATGGAGGCAACTTATTTTTACTATTTTAAAAGCTACTCCCTTCTCTGTTCTCCCCGTCCTGTTATTCTGAGAAGCTGTTGGCACAAAGCACACCTGTCAGTAAGTGTCCAAGCAAAAAATGGTCCTCATGAGCCCCCTGTGGCAGACACCTAGCTGCCTGCGGTGTTTGCAAAGGCTGGTGTTATTGGACTGCTCTGGTTGCTCTTGCGTTCCTGAGGAATTGTTAAACATGTATTACTTGAACCAAGCGAGACTCCTGAGCCGCTGTCCAGGCAAAGACTCTGTATTTGGCTAAATGCCCAGAGGAGCAATAGTTATTTTAGATATTTTCTGAGAATTCATCTTACAAATCTCTTCCTGATGGTGCTGGCCTCTCAGTCCTCTCTGACATGATGCACCTGCTGGGGGTAGGTAGAATTATTCCCTCCATATCAGAGCACAAGCTCATTTTCAGCTTGCTGCCTATTACCTGCTCCCTAATGCTTTCTTATGACCTTGGCCCACCAAAGAGGGATGTTTCAGACGCTGGCTGTAATTTTCAAGTGGTGTTTCTTATTCTCATTCCTAACCACTCTGTGTCCTTTATCATTATTTTTCTCTCCTCCATGGGGTTTGTGGCTTCACACTTCACTACGGCTAATCCCTTTTCCACAGTTGTCTCAAATGTGACTAACACTGTACACAGTGCTCACTTGGCTTTGCTGTTCCCCCAAAGCACATGAAACTGCTGCTTTCCATTGCCCTTCCCCACCTCCTCCAGCGTGGCAGAACGTGCGTTTGCAAATACTGCCCTTAGTGCAGTATTTGCAACTTGCTTTTTTTCTTCCTGCTTTCTTCTCTGCACTCAAATATTGAGGGCAGGTAAGAACCGGCTGACTGCCATGCTACTGCGTGCATTCCAACCCCAAAACCTGGTGCTGCGCAGGAAAAATCCTCTGTTTGATCCGTTTGGCGCCTATGAGGGCTGCAGAAGGGCTTGCTCCCCCGGGGATGTTGTGGTTTAACCCCAGCTGGCAACTAAGCACTGCCCAGCTGCTGCTCACTCACCCTCCCGCCCCAGTGAGGTGGGGGAGAGAATCGCAAGGGTAAAAGTAAGAAAACTCTTGGGCTGAGATAAGAACAGTTTAATAATTGAAATAAAGAAGGAGGAGAGGAGTAATAATCACAATAAAAAGAAAAAAAAAAGATGAGAAGAAAACAAGACGATGAACAAAACCCAGGAAAAACAAGTGATGCAACCACTCACCACCATGATGCAATTGCTCACCACCCACCAACCGATACCCAGTCAGTCCCCGAGCAGCAATCGCTGTCCCCCAGCCAACTCCCCCCAGCTTATACACTGAGCATGACGTCATATGGTATGGAACAGCCCTTTGGTCAGTTTGGGTCAACTGTCCTGGCTGTGCTCCACCCCAGTTTCTTGTGCACCTGGCAGAGCATGGGAAGCTGAAAAGTCCTTGACTAGCATAAGCAGTACTTAGCACCAACTAAAACATCAGTGTGTTATCAGCATTGCTCTCACACTAAATCCAACACACAGCACTATGCCAGCTACTAGGAAGAAAATTAACTCTATCCCAGCCGAAACCAGGACAGGGGATTTTGTGGATCGCTCTGGGTTACTTACAATGCCCTGCTTGCAGACACAGGCTGAGACAAGCTGCTGCTCCACCACTGCATGCGCTGTGGCCAGCTGCAGCCTTGCTGCTGTGCGTGCTGCCTGCAAATTGTCTAGCCTAAACACCTTCTTTCTTCACCCTTCATTAAGTAAAGTTCTTAGTCCTTTCATTGAAGAAAAATTAATTTCCTTCAGGAATTTGGGTAGCCAGTAGATGCTGGAAACTTCAGGTAATGGCAACCGTAAATAATCTGCTGGTATCTCCTGGGCCGCTTGCAGGCACCCTGTGTCGCAAAATGGTGCACGGCCGCAGCCAAACAGGCTTTTTAACTCTTCCCTTTGGCCTCACAGCTATGCTGATGCGGGGTTGCCCCCACCAGCAGCACTGAAGGGAGGGTAAATTCAGTAGCAGGGACAGAGCTTATACCAGAAGCACTGTGGAGAGAGCAATAGCTAGTTGCCAGCGATGCTTTTTTTTTTTTTTTTAATACTTTTTAAATACGACAGTATTTCAGTGCTCGTTGGCTTTGACTGACTGCAAAAATCCAGCAGAACAAACATGGACCCGTGTTTCCTGGAAGCAGACTTGAAGGTGAGCTGAACCCCAGGAGTGAGGATGCTCGGAGCAGCGTCTCTCCCTCTGCTGCCTGAGTGCACTGGGGAGAGCCCCATGTCCCAGGGGGATTGCACGAGTTGGCTTTTCCCTGTGCACTGTTGAGTTGCTGCCTGGAGCTGACTTTCAGTAGCTCGCAGTGATGAATGGAGATGGTGGTGATGACGAAAGCCAGGGCTTGAACCCAAGAGTTTGCCCATTTAGCAGTGGTGAGCCAAATCCTTTCCCTGCATCTCCCCAGGCAGACACCACTATTTTGCAGACCCACTGCAATGAAGACTCCGAGTGACCTGAAACCAGCGCAAGCAGATACAGATGATAGACAGCGTGTGCCAGGCTCCAGGACAGCGTAACCCCTCTCTGTGCCCTTCTCTAGCAGGTTCTGTATGGGCAGTCAGTGTTCGGTGGTTCAGGGGCTACTGAGAGCTCAGGGCATCGTGTGCTTGTGTGCTCTTCTGCAGGGTGGACATTTTTACTCTAAAATCATTGCTATTATTAAGGTGGTGAGGAGGTGCCTTCCCTCTGCTCCGCAGGCTGTTGACCTGCCTGAGCTGCCCTGCTCTCTCCAGCCATCTGCTATTCCTTCGGTGCTCAGCCTCCACCTGGGCAGCCGCTTGCTCATGGTGATCAAAGCACGATTGCAGGAGCAAGGAGGGGTGCTTGTGGATGTCAAGCTGCAAGGGAAGCAGAGACACTTAGAAAAGGAGAGAGGTGGCAGCCCCGGCACTGCTGCGCAGAGCCGGCTGCCTCCTGAGCCCCGCGCCAGCGCCTCACCCATCGCAGCAGCTGCCAGGGCAGGTTTGCTCCTGTTGCCCTGGTCATCAAAAGGTCTGTTCAGCCAATGCAGATTGTGGCCCACTGTGCGCTGCAGGCAGCAAGAGCCTGCAGACATAAGGAGCTGGAAATGCTCCCTCAGAGTCAGGAGGGTGGTGGGGCTTTTGGGGAGCAGGGTTAGTGCTAGAAAATCTGGTGGGGAGAGGATGGTGCCTTCTTACCTGCAGGAGGTTGCTGAGAAACACGAGGGGTCCAAGTCTGAGTTTGAAAAGGTATTTGGGGGCAGAGATGGCATATGAAAAATTAAAACATACCCATCCAGAGGGAACAGGGATTGCAGGACCCAAAAGCAGCAGCACCTGGAGAAAGCTCTCCACTGATATGAGAGACACAGCAAGCACAGGAGGCAGGAGCTGCAGGTGCCTTAGGGAGAGAGATGTAAAGCTTGGGAGGGAGTGGGAAGGAAAGCAGGAGGAGTTCCATGTGGGCAGCCGCTGTGGGCAGGGAGGGCATTGCGGCTGGACCAGCGGGCAGAGAGGTCCCTAAGCTGGCAGGGAGCAAAGCAACCAAACCTGTCCTGTTCCTCCCTGCAAAGACACCTAGACAGACCTGGACAACAAGCTGGGACTGATAAATGCTGAGAGTGGGTAAATGCATAGGTGACTCTAAGTATGGCCTCCAGAGCTCCCTGGACAGACCTTGCGTAGTCCAGAAGCTGAGTCCATGTCAGGGAACAGGGAGCTTCTGCACCTAGCAAAGCCCAGGGCAGGATTTGGTGTCAGATGCCACTGCCCAGGGCACAGGTGGGAGCTGAAACTCCAAAGAGCAGCCCAGGACAGTTTGCCAGGCAGTGAAATAAATCCCAAGCAACAGGCGTTTCACACTGGTCAGGAGCAAGAGCATGGCGTGGCATTTTCTGGCATTGCCTTGCTGTGCCCCTGCCTCCCCTGCCCTCCCACGGGCCTTTCTGTGGGCCCCTGCCCACGGGGCTGGGGGGTCCCAACAAGCCGGTGGAGCCCAGGGCAGCTGTGGTCTCAGCCGGGCAGATGCGGGCAGTGCCACGCTGCCCTTGCTGCCCACGCTGCCCCTGCAGTGCCCGCTGCCTGCTGCCCACACTGCCTGCCAGCTGCCAGCCAGCCAAGGTCAGCAACAAAAGCTGTCCCTATTCACCAAAGCCCATTATTGACCTATTTTTCCCTCCCACAGGGCACGGTGTGCCTAGCGCAGGAGATACCACCACCTCCCTTCCCTCCAGCAGCCCGAGAGCAGCCATATGAGCTACTACAAAAGCAGCGCCTGTCTGTGTGAAAAGAAGCCATTTTCTCACAAA